AGTTTAAAAAAGCTAAAACGTGACATACGATGTTTCTCCTTGGCATCCTTCAATTGCTTCTGGAAAAAACAAAACAATTGAAACTATGAAAAGCTGTAAACGTAGGTTTTGTTGGGGTTTTTTTTAACTTTCAGAAACTAGCTGCTTTTTTGTGGACAAATTAAACTAAATACGGAAATTGTTCTTCAAATATGAAAGGGAACTGGGGAAGTATCCTAGAAAATAATGATGTAGTATACCCGAATGATCACTGCATCGTTTGTTTTGCGAATGCTCTTTGAATTATATTTTGAGAGCTTCTGACACTTCCACACTCATGAACTAAGCTTGAAAAAAACAACAACACTGTTGCGGTCCAGTAAAAGAAAATACTTTCTACTCAAAATCACAAACTTTTTGACCTATCATCAGAGTATTACTGAAAATAAGAAATTATACTGGTAAACATTTCCCGGCTCAGGATTAGAGGTTAGTAGAATGATCATCTCAAGAAGAACTCATATGGCAGCCACGTAAGTCTCTTCGCAAGAAATTAATGAAACAGTTTCACTTCCACACACAACGATGAACGTTCAGAAGAGCCAATCGCTTCTTCCGCCATAGTCTAGTGCATCCAGAGGAGTCTGAAAATTGTTATCGCTAATTTTTTCTCGCTGACTTCAACGGATGACGCAGACTTTGAGATACCGTCACTGCTTTTTAAATGGGAGAACATAATAGTCTGTTGCACTCCTTAAGATTGTCCGGAATTCAGAACTATTGAAAGCCTTTGCATTGTGTCACATTTTACCCACATTGATATGGAGTTCCCGACATGGGAGGAACCGTGAGATTAAAACACGCTTTTTTTTTCTTTCCCAAAACCAAACTGCGGAATTAGATATTTTAGTGGCGATCCACCGGTTGCTCGAACAATTACAATGATATTTAAAAACTAGTACTGAGCACTACGCAAAAATGATATTTATGCAGTCTTCCGAACAACACACTCTGTCATGTGGTCATCCTGAATGAGTTAAAAGCTTTTTCTTCCTGAATGCTCTTTTTACACTCGAGTCCACGTAGGGGGTTGGCTAGACGTATGATATGTTCTCGTGTTGATGCGAAATGAGTCCTGAGTCCTTTGAGTACAGACAGCACCTCTCAGAATCCGCTGTCACGCTAACTCACGCTCGACCGTGCCCCCCGGGACAGTAATGGTTGAGTCCAATGCTTGTTTCAATAATGCACGCGCTTGATCATACAGAGGGAAAGGCAGATACATGTACAGGCTTGGTATCGTCCCTGCTATGTCCGGTTTTAGAGAGAGAGAGAGAGAGAGAGAGAGAGAGAGAGAGAGAGAGAGAGAGAGAAAGAGGTTAACCTGACAGAGACGGAAAATTTTCTTCTCTAAAATATTGTTCTTTCACGCGAGCGTAGCGACACTGGAGTTTGGCCCTTCATTTGGACGTAATGGTATGAACTGTTCGCGGACAAGTTTTGATAGAGCGAAGAGCAGTGGCCTTGACAGTGCGCAGTCTAAAAGTATAAGTCTTTGGGCCAGAAGATTTATTAATGGCCAAATTTTAATAGTTTCATTCACCGCACGCGGAAGGAAAATCGAGCCTATCTAAATAGTCATTGTTTGAGAAGCCCATTTGGTATTATAATTGCTTTTGTCATGAGCATTATTATTAGCATTGTCGTTTTTATCCTGATTATTGTTATTACTAACATGACTGTGATTGTCATCGGTATTTCAAACTTATTGTAAGGATGATGATGATGATGATGATGATGATGATGATGATGATGATGATGATGATGATAATGTTGTTGTGAATGTAGTGGTGATGATTTAAGAATATCAGAATACATTCTGTATAGCTAATGACAAGAACAAGGTGTTGGACAATACTGTGCGCCGATTCTAAATGCAGTTTTGACTTGAAACTAAGGCCATTAAGAACTTGTATCGCTTACTATTGATCGTTCTTTTATTCCAACTCTAATGGTTTTGGAGAGACAGACAGACACACTTGTTTACTTACGCAATAAAACGGAGTGAAATTTTTTAAAGCCCCCCCCCAAAAAAAAACAAACAAAAAAACCAACAAAAAAAAACTTGCGAAATAAATTTGTATAGTTTGTTTTACTCACAGGTACATGAACAACGAGAGCAATGAGTTTCGTTCCTCGGAGTATTAGATCCATAGACCTGTTTGCCTAGACTGCCAACTGTCATGACAGCTGCTCTTTGCTCTCTACAAAAACTTTACTGTAAAGCACTTGTATCATGGGTCACGCCATACGTCCAAAAATAAATTAAGGGTAAAAATACCAGTCCCTTTATAACCGGGTGCACTCTGCACCACACCCTCTTTGCCCCTCATTTGGTTAAAATTGATTTTTTAAAAATAATGCGCTCCATAGTAAACCGGAAATACGTCACAGTGCATGGTCTAGACCATTCCTTGCCAATCTTTGTTTTTATAGATAGCTTCCACTGTAGCCACATTTAAAGGGGATACATCTTTTGTATCGCTCATCTATATAATATTAAATTCCTAAGCGGGGCGTTAGATAATACATGACACTACCCGGGTCATATCAACGATACCCAACACCATTACCGAATCGTCCACTTGTTGGTGATGCTGCCCGGGCTGGCAAGCATTGAATTAGGCCATAATAATACAATTCTGTTTTCACTATCAGATCCCAAAGTGGTAGCGTTTCCTGTCTGAATGACGATGACGGGGATTCAATAGTGTTGTCGATAAACAGTATCGCTTTCCTCCTTTCGACACCCCTTCCCCCTCCAACCCCTTTTTTTTTCTTCTAATGTTGCCCCCTCTTTTCTTTCTTTCTTTGTTTTCTTTGTTTCTTTTTTCGTTCTTTCTTTCTTTCTTTCTTTCTTTCTTTCTTTCTTTCTTTCTTTCTTTCTTTCTTTTTTTTTCTTTCTTTCTTTCTCTCTCTGTTTTTCTCATTCTCTCTCTCACAAACAAACAAACGTAAACAAACATAAATCCACACACACACACACACGCACACACACACACACACACACACACACACACACACACACACACACACACACACACACATACATACACACACACACTCACATACGCACACACAAATACAGGCACACACACACAAACACACGTACTCACACACCTGCTTAGTAATTGACCGTCCACCCCCCCCCCCAAAAAAAAAAAGAAGTCTAGAAGGTTCTCAGTGGTAGGATCGGAAAAGACCAAAAACTCTCACTGTATTCCCACTATACTTAAAAATACTTGTAAAGGCATTTTTACATCCATTTCCCCCTTCTATGTAGGACTGTCAAAGACTACTGAATCTTTAGTGTTAGCCTTTATTGAGATTGAGATCAAAGTTGAGAATTTAAAAAAAAATTGTTTCCATTGACAAATTGCGTCTATGTCATTTTTTTCTTCATCTATACGATTTATTTAGATGATTTTTTACGAACCCCCCCCCCCCAACCAAAGACAAAACAAAGCAACCACGATTATAGTTCTCGACAAGTTGAAATAATTTCTCTCTCTATCTCTCTCTCTCTCTCTCTCTCTCTCTCTCTCTCTCTCTCTCTCTCTCTCTCTCTCTCTCTCTCTCTCTCTCTCTCTCTCTGTCACTTGTAATACGTTCAGAACGCTATGGAAGGAAAAAACAATGTTGAACCAAAACCCTTGAGTACAAAGATCAAACAATTCTCATTTGAAAAGGTTAAATTAGATTTAGGCTTGTGGAAAAAGAGAGGAAAAGAGGATGGAGGTGAACCCCTTTGGGTATCACGCCAACTTTGTTCATGTAGACCCCGAGAAATGGTTCCGTCATGCTCCGGAATAATAATCTTTTAGCCATGAAAGCCAACCCCATCAGAACTTTAGTCCTGTTTTCTTTCCACAAACAGTTGGTTTTATCTTCAATTCCACTGGGGACATTTCCAATCACAATAACCCATTAGTTTTTAAAAAATCCCAATCAGACAAAATATGTCCTCTCACCCACACTGTGTTAGTGTTCCCAAAGGACAGAGATTGCTAAATTATGTACAGCCTGTGAGCTATTAGCGTAAACGATGTCCAAACAGAAACATAGCTAATATTATCGGAACAGGTCTTTCCTCTCTTTCTCTCAGCTAGTATTGCTCTCAATAATAATTATTGTATTGTCGTGTTCAGGAATGACACGTTTTAAAATACCCTGAACGAAACCACTAAGCGGTTAATTGTAATGGCGAAAGTTTGGCAGATTCTTAATTGTGTCCAAAGCTATCTGGAAAGACAGGAATTACCAGGCTGTTACTGGGGATTGATAGAGTATACAACAGGCATTAGGGCTTTCTTTTTAATTCCAGTGCTTGCAAACCTGGCCGATACCACTCGCTACTGTAATTTATTGGTACTTTTTGGGACGGTGGAGGATCACTCTGATAGTGACACTGTGACAGGTATAGTTTTAATGCCCCGATTGGAAATACATGTATGTGGGTGATACGAACATTTTTGCCTCTTAAAGGGGATAAAAGTCGGCGCTGGCCATGATAAAGGTTGACAAGCACTGATAGAGACAAAAAATATTATAGTCAGGGATATATAAGCATATGGAAGAGGACACCATTGAGGGAGACAAGGCCAACGACTTCGCAGAGGTTAACTCTAAATATCCGTATGTCTGTCTGTCTGTCTTTCTCTCTCTCTCTCTCTCTCTATCGCTATCTCTCTGTTTGCCTATCTCTTCTCTCTGTCTGTATGTCTGCCTGTCTTTTTGTTTGTTGCTTTTGTTTGTCTGTCTGTCTGTCTGTCTGTCTGGCTGGTTGGCTGTCTAGATGTCTGGTCATCTCTGTCTGCCACTTTATATGTCCGCATGTTAGTCTGTGTCTGCCTGTCTGTCTATCTATCTGTCCACGTGCTTGTCAGTCTTTTCCTTTCTTTTTATTTGCTCTTATTACTCTCCATCCCCTGTCTCTCGAGCTGACATAATTTA